AGATCCAAGGTTTATAGGGTTGCATGTACACCATAGGAGTGTTAGAATGCTCAAAACCCAACAACAACAACTTAATCCATTGTATTTTCCAAGAAATCAACCATAGGAGTAAACTGAATCGCATCTAAACATGAGTATCTTTAATATCTTGCTTTAAAACTTAATTTAGATTGTTTTTTGTTAGTTAACTTGTTTTTGGTAATAACTACTTTTAATTAATCTGGACTTGGAAAAAAAACGCTCTATTTAATTGCTTTTAAATTAGTTAACTTTTAGTAGATAAATTAGCTCTTAATCATTCTCGTTCCCCTTGTGTTCGACACCCTACTTTCTTACTATACTATTATTCGCTTAGGTACACTGTCTATCGAATTTAGCTAGCTTAGATAGTTTGGTTTATAAATTAAAAACTAGTATAAAATTGTGTATCATGGGTCCAAAAGTGACATAACTTGATCTAGTTCCTGACTTTCTAGAGAACCTCTTCGATCACTTGTGTGTATTCTTCATTGGAAGTCACCAATACAGTCAAAATAACAAGTAGCGAAGAAGAAGGGATATTACAACAACAAATGACAAGAAGTTCCGACGATGGGTAGTGCAGGGTTAACGAGAAGAGATTGGCATTGTTGTTAATTAGTGAGGGCGTAGAGATAGATTAGGATTAATAGCTAAAATGGAGGATTTCAAATCAATTTTTTATTTATTGAGTTCCCAAAATTATAGGAATTTAATTTTTATAATAATTAATTTAATTAACATAATTACCATCATGTCATTATCAAATGATTGGTCTACATTTTGTCATACGCACACAATAATCGTAGGTTATAGATGAATCTCTCTCTCTCTCTCTCTCTCTCTCTCTTTCTCTCTCTCTCTCTCTCGTGTCAGAGGTGGCGGTAGGGATGGCGGTTGGAGTTTATTTGAAAATTGTGCTCCAATGTGGTGCTGAGTTAACAGGAGAACTCCCCACATAGTTTTCTAATGCTACAGATTCTTTCTCAGCCTTGGATATGCATGGAGACATAACTTTAGGCTTTAAATTTTTCTGCAACCCAGGAACATGAGCATTTCATCCTGCAAGAAGAAAGAATCCCATAAGACAGAGTTGTGCCAACAAATTAGCAGAAACATTAATCTCTGAGGCTACATCTTTCAAATTGACTTTTCTTCGTTCAATCAATTACAGAATCAAGGGTAAAGTTGTTACACATGAAGTTTTTAAGAACAATATGTTTCAAGAATATTTATCCTACCTTCTTTAGCAGGACAAATATTTCTTCATTGTAAAGTTCCAAGAAAATAATTTTCATGAAATAATCAAATATTGTGAGCCTGTATGGTATAAAAAAAATTGACGAAAATGTTGTTGGAATTACCTCCATTCTATATGTATGTTTTACCGGTACCATGTTGGAACAAGATATAAGAAATAGTTCATCTAAATTGCCACATTTAATAGAAAATCATTATGGATTTTTTCTTTATTGATATTATCATTTAGTATTTTCAATGTTAACATCAAATCTAAAGCTTTCTACAAAAAAGCAAAGAAATAATAGTGAACCTGATGAAAATATAAGAGCTCTACAACTTTGTTTTCTTTTTCTGTAACCTGCCCCAAAAGTGAGAACAAAAATCAATCAAAATAAAAATTGTTGGATATTGAAGTAAATTTAATGGTTCATGGGAGATAGATACATACAATACTTGGAAGCAAATATAATTGCCAATGTTTGAAGGAATTATGCTAGTTAGTTGATAGATATCTTGCAAATATCATTCACATTATCAAAGTCATTGTTATGTGTGTGTTGCATCTAAAAAATAAAAAACTATAAAAAGCAACTATCCAAGAGAAATTTTATAGTGTTGTAGATTTGTACTTCGGTACTTGTTAAAAATACTGTGTTCAGAGTATGCAAAGGTAGATTAGATGATCTGATATTAAAAGTGGTGGGTTACCATTCCTGTTAAACAGTGTAATCATATGAGAGCTGGTATTTTTACTATTTTCTCAACAGCAAAACCCCCCATATGGAGGACAATCTATGGTAAGGACTAATTCGCCTTGACAAGAAACCCGTGAATGAAATTTCCTTGAGATTCTGTAAATCTTCTCAACATCACCTGAAAAACCATCATTTCTTGCAAATACCATTTCAGGAAAGTTAATTAATGAATATGACAGAAAAAAAATATAAGATTTATAATATAAATCTTTCCTGAAATACATTAATTAACTTGGTTGTTTGAGATGAAGAATGTGTATGGCTGTATGCGTTACCTCTAAGCTTCTCCGCCGAATACCAGTCAGGCTCCCATTGACAGATACATCTACGATAAGCACATAGGATACCACAGTGAGTATCAAGATACCAAAACTCCTATGAATATGTAAAGTTTCTTAATATACGTCACAAGAAAAACACGTGGGGAAATAATGTTACCCAAAGTGCGGGAGAACATAACACGTATGATGAGAAAATATTAAAAGGTAGCTTTGTGGCCAAAATAAAAAAAGCAAAAAACTAAATTAACGTTATATATAATATTACCTTATATATAGTATAAATGTATAAATGTAGACGTCTAGGCGGTTGTAGTGTAGGTCTGCCCAAACTTTTGGATGAACAATTATATAATACTCCGAAAAAGGGAGAAACTGACACATATATAGAAGTTCAAGTATAAAATGTTTTTGGGAGACCATGAGAAGGAGCTTAGGGTGGTTTGTCTGTAGACCTTTCAAAGCGGCACAAAAACACAATTTTTTATTATTATTCTCTCAATGAAGGTACATATAAACGGATTTCGGCTTCTCTTTGCGTCTGATAGAGGGTAGAAGGACAAAAATTCTAGTTAATTGGTTGTTCATATAAGAGAGAGCTTGCATCTTATGAAGATCATCTGCAACAACAAAATATCCATTTCCGCTTATGAACATGTGTGTGTCTGTAAGTTTAAGCTTCGCTTTTCTGTAATTTCTTGATTTAAGATTTCTCCAGAAGATGGATAAACCTTGAAGAAACTAGCAATTGATATGTTTACTAATCAAAGGATGTGTTATTGTGTGTGAAAATGGACAACTAGTGTCAGTTTTTGTTGCAAATCAATCTTTGACTTTAATTTTCTTTATCTAGGGTTTGCCCAAAAGTGAAGAAAATGGTTGATAACAATCAAATGATTGATTTTTCAATTTCACAGTGTGCGTGTGTGTGTGAGTGGATAGCTAATGTGTGTTTTGCTAAAATATATTTTTTTAGTGTCTTCATGTCAAATTTTGACCTTAATTTTTGTTGCTTTCTTGATTTTGTATTTCTTCAAAAGTGGCGGTGTGCATCTCTTGTGTGTGGGTGTGTGCAAATCTAATTACTTCGAGTTTTGTGTTAGTTTCTTTATTTGGGGTTTTCCCAAAAGGGTAGAAAAGGATTGAATAAAAACGGTATGAGATTTTGTGTGTGAAATTAGTTCAGTAGTGTGTGTTTTATGGTGTTGTGTTTCTATTTTATAAAAATGAACGCTTTTCTACATGGATAGGTTTAAGATGGTGATCAATCTTGGGTTTTTGTTAGTTATTGATTTGGGCTGCCTCCAAAATTATAACATGAGGTTTAAAGAACCAATTTCTTGATCCTCAAATCACAGTGTGTCTTTTTGTGTAGAGGGGTGTGAAAATGGAGCAAAGCACAAAAACACCATCAGCTGAGGAGCTTTTAAGAAAGATCCAGGAGCTGGAAAAACGCGAATCTCAACTCAAACAAAAAATCTCAAAACTCATGCTTTCTGGTAACCTGAAAGAACCTGAGCCTTTATCTATGAAGCTGACAGAAGCTCAATATTTTAATATAATGCAGTCACTCGGTCAGGCTCTACATATATATGATATTGACTTTCGGATAATCTTCTGGTAATAAATATGCTACTACTAAGTTCTTAATGTTTTGAATTTCAAGTGGAACCTGAAGAAGATCAAAGGCGTTTAATAATTTTTAACATATTTGGTTAACGGGATTCATGCAGGAGCCGGGGCGCAGAAAATCTTTATGGTTTTACACCTGATGAAGTTTATGGGAAGACACCAACAAAGCTTCTAGTGGAACCTAAGGACGCTTCGTTATGTGATGATCTTCTAGAACGATCACTAAAGGGAGAGACTTGGACTGGGGAGTTTCCTATAAAGAATAAGAAAGGGGAACGATTTGTGGTTATTGCTACCAATACGCCATTTCGTGATGAAATTAGAGGAATAATTGGGGGGTTATGTATATCGAGTGATTCACGTCCATATCATGCAAGAAAGCCAGCTAAACCTGGCTTTGATTCTCCACAACCTCTACAGATTTCAATTGCCTCAAAGATATCGAATTTGGTTAGCATTTCCTACAATTAATTTTTCCAAATAGAGATTTAAGACCATGCATGTAAGAGTATTAGATTACTTTATGTCCAAATAGATTCAAGAACCAACAAATAGTTATGGGTAGATTCATTAAACATTGCCTTGAAGTTATCATGTTATGCAGAACGAAAATTGCTAATTGATTAATACGAAACATTAACACACACACAAATGATTGAGACACCTATTCATTGATTGTGATTCGGTTCTTTATTGATGTGAAACATAGATGATAAGGTAATGGAAGAGGATGAGTACCGACTTTCTATGACTAATTTGTAGTAATTAGATTCTCCCTTAGTTACATATATGGTCCCCTATACTTTGATTGAAGTGGCTTGTTCCACAATTCTCCATCTTGACTTCAAAGTAAGCCTTCTTGTACTTCCAGCTATCGATGTTTAGGAATAAGCAATGTCAATATTTTCATTTTATGATCGACTTATTTAACATGTGGTTTGGGTTATCATGTGTCACTCGTGTCTTAAACGAAATTAAAAGATAATGGTTTGTTCGTTGAAAAGTTGGGGGTTATCCAAACAAATAGCACTCATGCTATTGCAATAAGCCAAGGCTTGATAATTTCGAACCCCACGATCACTTACCAACCCCTTCAACCATATTGTCTCCTTTGTTGCCTCTGTCAAGGCCATTTCCTCGGAGTAGTTGATAGTCGATAGAGCAACATACGGTTGAAGCGTTACCTTGCAACTCATGATCTCGCTACCTATTATAAACAAATAATTAGTTAATGACTTTATTCGATATAGATCACACAACCCCATACTCCTCCACAGATAGGACCCACATTAGATGTGACTTGCAAGTACCGAAATGTTTTTCTGGCCGCTAGCCAATGTTCCTTGCCTGCATGCGCCATATACTATGATACTACAATTACTGAGTGTGTAGTATTCAACCTTGTACAAACTATAACGCACATAAGACTTCCCCACTACACTCGAATAAGGACTTGTAGATATGTGTGGTTGGGCCTGACCCTGTTCTATTCAGGGTTACATTTTGTACTTTGTATATATATTATGTTGGTAGCTAGGGTTTCATTATACTATCGTTTTCAAGATCATGAAAATAATACTCTTTCCTGCCTGTTGACATAGGTTATATTGACCGAATCGCATTAAATACTATCTTTGTGTGTATGATTCATTCTCATTTGTTCATGACAACATATAAACTTGAAAAGGTACAAATGGACACTGTAAGAAAAACCTCTAAGATACATGAAACAGATCTCCCAAAGGTATAATCGGAAACAACAAGAACCAACTCTTTTTCTAAGTTAGAAAATTCTTTCACAACGTTTGCATTCGACACGTTTCCCTTGTTCTTTGGGCACCCGTTCTTCCATAGACTAATTTTTCCATATCTATGTCATGCATCTTGCTTATTCGACTTTCTACCTTGCGACCTTGATGTTCCTCTTCTATGTTTTCCTTTACTTTTTTCCCCGAGTCCGGGAGATCGGACTGATCCTACTTTATAAATGCATTCCATAATGTTGTTAGGTGCTTTGTGTTGTAGTTCGCTAAGGTGCAAGCTTGATCGAACCTCTTCCAAAGTGATCATGTCCCTCCGTACAGTTGTTCCAAGTGAAAATTTATGTCTAAATGGATCAATCGGAAATTGAAATAAAGATCGAACACTCAGGTTGCTTCGATTGAATGTAAAACGCAAGCAAGAAATAGATTGCATGTGAGGACTCTTCACTAATGGATTCTTCATAATAATTATGGTACCTCTAGAAAGCTAGTAACTCGGATCTAGGACTAGAAAGGGAAGGCAACTACCCAAGTTCATGTAGCATACCAATTTTCACAACAAATTTTTCAATTTTTAAGTAAGATAAAAAGCCATTTTCGTAAAACCATTTGTTCCATAAGTCATAATCCCATAAATGAGAGTATCATAAAACAATGTGGAATCTCAAACATGAAAGTTGTTGATGAGTTTGTACAGTCACGCCTTCGCCTTCCCACGATCAACTGAAGTACCTGAAACATTTAATCCACAACCGTAAGTCAAAGCTTAGTGAGTTCCCCAAAAATATCATATACAACAATATACATACAATCATACAACCAAGTTGAGTATCTAGTCTCACAACATTTAAGTTGATCTTGTCATCAACTCAAAGATACGGGTATCTAGTCTTACAACACTTAAGTTGGTCTTGTCGTTAACTCCCATACATAAGTATCTAGACTCACAACACTTAAGTTGATCTTTTCATCAACTCCCAAATAATCACATGAAAGCATCATATAACAAACATATATCCCACAGGAGACTAACCAATCTACACCTACAAGCATAACCTGGCAATACATATATCTTAGCATATAAGGACATACTTTCACACGTAGTATAGTGAGAAAACTCACCTGAATCAACAAGCTGAAAGATTAACACTCAACGACCTGCTAGAATAGCTACACGAACCTCCTAACCTGATAGGAGTCAAACGTCAGCCTTTTACTCAAAACCGTCAGTTTCACCGTTAAAAGTCAACGGTCAACGAAACTCAACAGTCAATAGAAATCACGCCTTGACTAGATAATGCTCACGTCGTGATACATTAGGCGACAAAATAGTCGGGACAGACATAAAATCATGCTGTGAAACCCTATTTATCGCACTGTAAAACTCGGCTTAATAGCCTCGCTCATTCAATCCTTAATCCTTTACGATGGAAGTCCAAAATCTCAGATATGAAAGATCTGAATCTTTCAAGGGTCTTAATGGATCAAGTTTCCAACTTTATCCATTTAGACAACTCAATAAGCCAAGATTATAACCCTAAGTCTAAAATCCAATCAAAAGGCCAATTCTAGTTCATGGACTCAAGGCATAACCATGCAAGCCATTTTTCTTCATCAACAAAGGTCCAGAAGCTCAATAATACACCAAGAGGCTCTGGAGTTCACCAAACTCTAAGAACACAAAGGTGTTGGGACCAAAATGACCATAAAGTCATTTATAACTTAAATTTGAAGAGAATAAGCATAGAGGTGGAGACTTTATACCTCTCTAGGGTCCAAGAGATGAAACGGGCGGAGAAACTAGGATGGGAAAATTCCTCTTCTTGCGCCAAAGACCAGCATCTTCTTCAAGAAAACACTAAAGACACCAAATGAGCTCACAAGCACCAAAAGGGTATGAGGAATGGGTACTATATACCCACTCTAAAAGTGTTGCCATCTCAGTTCCACTACCACACCATAAACCTTAGAAAATACTCACTACTCACATCATCTCCATCATTTTATTATTTAAATAAAACATTTACATAATTAAAATTATATAAATTAAAAATAAAATACTTACATAATTAAAACTAAATTAAAATTATTTAAAACAAATACAACATTCTATTGTTAAAATTTTAAATTAAATAACTAAAATTTAAAAAAGACAATAAAAATTAAAAGTTTAACATTACAAAATAAAAACTACTACTCGTTATTGTCAATCTCGTCGTATCATCCTCATCATCATGATTTTATTGCCTTTGATAGAGATTGTGTGTGTGTGTTTCTCTTTCCACCTCTAACATTCCCTCTCAATTGAAAATATTTTTAGCTGACTTCCAAATCTTTAGCTATACATAGGAATGAATTTCTACTAAAATGGACACGATGTTTGAATGTTGTATGGTCGTAAAAGCAATTATCAACAAAGTAATCACGTACCAAGAATTTGTATGTAGCGTTAAAATCCTTGTTTATTAGGTTCTAGTCTTCTTGCTGAAATTTGAACTTTTAGTTTCTTGACCCAATATGGTGATTTCTGTTTCAAGGAAATATGTGAAAAAAACATATCACCATTATGTGATGAAGATGAAGATGAAAATTTGTCCATCTTTCAATTGCGTTTGTGTAGGATGTCTAGAATTGTAAAATGGTTGTGTGAAAGTTAGATAAACAATGTATAATATTTATAGGGTTATGTTGCGGTTGGTTGATAATAAAAGAATTTATTTAAACTCTTTTCTTTTTAAACTCTCAGCGATCAAAAGACTGTTTAAGTTGTTCTAGCTTTCTCCTCCGTCAAGCTCTGTAGCAATGGCTACGCTCAGTGGCGGATCCAGGATTAAAGTAAAGGGGTATGCCCGACAAAACAATCAATAAGAAAAAAAATTCCCGGAAAAAATTACACTACTGAAATTTTTTTGAGGGGTATCCCGGGCAACCCCGAGATATATACTAAATCCGCCGGTGGCTGTGCTACGCCACATTCACAAGCCGAAGGGGTTGTGTTCACGCGTGGATTCCTACGCCACATCATCCTTACGGGTGTCGCGTAATACCCATACATGAAGGCCTTGTTGTGAAAACATAGATGACGAAGAAAACGATGAAGATAATTATTGAGTTTCTTACGACTAATCATCTATGTAATGGGATTAAAATCCAACTAATTAGATTCTTCCATATTTACATATATGGTCCCTAGAATTTGTTTTAAGTCGCTTATACCACATATATCAAATTTAGCCTCTGTTAAGTGAGCATGATAGAAATCTAAGATAACCCACTCAAGAATTGTCACCTTAGGTACAATTGGATTCTAAGACCAACAAACATGATTAGGTTTATTTGATTAATTCTTGTCACGTTGAAAACATTATAACAGGCTTCAAAGGTGAAGTTGAAGATGAAGAGGAGAGACAACTACACTGATCATGAAGGTGGGAGTGATGTCGTGGGTGATCATAGTGAAGCAAGTACCCCAACGGGGCATATTCAGTCTCCATTTGGAGCTTATTCATCCATGGCCACAGAGGAGCACCTTACCAAAAAACTCACAATATATTATGGTCATGAGAGTGAAAACAAACCCGGGATCTGCAAGATATTGTCTTCAAAAGCAGATGCCTGGATGGGTGGAAAAAGAAGTGTGTGGCCTTGGGAAGGAGACGAAAGAGTAGAGTCTTTTGATCCTATATTTGGTCGTTTTGCTTGGCAACGGTTAGATATCATTGAAGAACACAAGCCTGGTCTACAAACGAGCTCATGTGCTTCCTCAAAACTAGACTTGCAACTATGGGAAAATACCAATAATAAAATCATGGCTTCAGGGTTATGGTCTTCTTCATTACATGTTAGTAGCAGCACAAGTAGCTCAAGTAGCGGTGCAAGCATCAAAAGCAATGCCATCATCAAAGTGGAAAGAGAAACCGACAGCCTTGATTATGAAATCTCGTGGGAGGATTTGATAACTCGAGAACAGATTGGACAAGGTACCCCGAGGGTATTTTAGTCATTTTGACAAACTATCGTATTACGAATGTAACTTTTTCTTATTTATCATATTTTTTGGCAGGCTCGTGTGGGACCGTATATCGTGCGCTGTGGTATGGATCAGTACGTTTTCAGTCTTCCCCGCTTCTTAAAAGATTTATGCAAACATTTTTATTTGTAAAAAAGGGACAAATAAAGATTATTAACTGTATATTAATACATGTAGGATGTTGCGATCAAGTTATTTGTGTATCAAGAATACCCAGAGGAGTTGATAGTATCATTTAAACAGGAGGTAATTTTTTTTTTCATCACACATAATTAACTCCTTTTTTATGCTTTTCTTTTTGCATCCAACTGTTTTTGTATATTTTTTGAAGGTATCTCTCATGAAAAAGCTTCGACATCCAAATATTTTGCTCTTCATGGGTGCTGTGACATCAACTCCACATCTATGCATTGTCACAGAGTTCCTTCCCCGGTTGGTTCCTTAATTAATCCAATAAAAATTGTGATGTTTCTTTTCTTGTTAAAATGTTTGCATATGATAAATAATCTCAATTTAATAATATACATTCCTATGTAGTGGAAGTTTGTTTCGGGTACTTCAGCGAAACACAACCCGATTAGATTGGAAACGTCGTCTCCATATGGCCATGGATATTGTAAGTAACATGCTAATTAATTATCCTTTATATTCGGTTTTTTTTTTCTTTTGAGTTGGTTGTGTTCTTATAAGTGATTCTTTCAAGGCACGAGGCATGAATTATCTTCATCATTGTAACCCACCGATTATTCACCGTGATTTGAAGTCTTCAAATCTTCTTGTTGATAAGAATTGGACTGTGAAGGTATGATTGGACTATCCTTCGTACTCATGTGGCTTCAGTCCCAAGTTTTTTCTTTATACTGATAATTAATATGATATTTTAGGTTGGTGACTTTGGTCTCTCTCGTATCAAGCATCACACGTACCTCAAAACAAAGTCAGGGAAAGGAACGGTATTGCAATGTTCTTTCTTGATTTATGCTCCTTTTTGTTCCAAAAATAACAGCCATCTTTCTTTCTTTTTCTCGCACCAAGCAAATAGGACCCACAGAATGCAAAGTTATTAATGACTCAAAGTGTACAATAAACAAGAAATAAGATTCAACGTTGAGTCAAATTAAGGGGCTATAGCTAGGTTTGACTTCATTGCGTTGACTGATTTCTTGTTCCTTTTTGTAGCCTCAATGGATGGCTCCAGAAATTCTACGTAACGATCAAGCAGATGAAAAGTAAGTCTGTGTACGAGGAAAAAGAAAATATTTTTTTCATGAATTTTGGAATCTAATATTCCGTTTGTTTGTTGTCAATCTTTAGGTCTGATGTATACAGCTATGGTGTGGTATTGTGGGAAATTACCACCGAGAAGACTCCTTGGGATGATCTTAACCCAATGCAGGTATATATGCTTACTGTTTCTTTGACTTTCAAGATTGAACATTCTAAAAGCCCAAAAGATAGGTAAATGTGTTGTTGTATTCCAAGTTTTAGCAAACTAAAAATAGTCAAAAGTTCAGAATTGATCAAACTGTTTTTTGATAATGTTATTGAGAAGAACATAGAACAACATAAATGAAAAAAATAAAAATAAAAAATCTGCTCCATTAATTTCTTCTACATAATTACATGGGCATTGAATACTTGTAAAAATAAAAGCTCAAAGTCTTTGTGACGGCTCAATTATTCAACAGTAACAAAATTATGCTTGGGAAGAGGGGTAATTTCTACAAAACCTGTACAGGAAAAACATTATCAAAGGTTGAATCATTTTAGCAAGCCCGCATCCTCTATTCCCTAAACCCTATACCCTAAAAAATTAAAGTCTGTTAGAAAACATTAATTTAACTTGAAATGATACAAAAGAAATGATCAGTGTGAGTTCATCTACTAACCTTCTCTATCCCCTCATCAATTAGTCAAATAAATAATGAAGGGACACACACCTGATGGAGATATATATGCTTAAGAAAAATTGGATGCAACTTCTGCATTGTTAACTATAACATGCCATTATTAAGGAATGAATCATCAAAAATATAAAGCGTAATTCTAATTAATCTGAGAAAATTTCCACCATATGTTTTAAATATTGATCCAAAGATCATATTTTTATCGTTGATTATATAGTTTTTGTAGAAGACTGTTTTGATTTTTTTTCAACATGGAGTCACCGTACTTTAAGGGTTTTGCTTCTAGTGCGAAATAAGAGTTTTTGGCCGTAATAAGATGATTGGAAAAAAAATATTTACCATTCTAGTATACTTTCAAAAATATTTACCAAAATATTTCTTTTCATTTTTCTTTACTTTTCAGTTTTTCTTAATGTTTTTTATTTTAAATATCCGATTTTTCTCCTTTTCTCTTTTATTTCACATTTTTACTGTTTTTTTGTAAATGATAGTTTTTATTTCAGTTTTTTACCTCTTTTTTCTGTTTTTTTTTTAAATAGCAGTTTTCTTTATCTTTTTTATTTCTGTTTTTTTATTTTAAATATCTGTTATTCTTTATAGTATATAAAAAAATTTAAAAAGAAAGGCTAAATTCATTTTCATAAGTATTAATTAGGTCCGCCCAATTGAGTAAAGCTTTTGTTTTATTTTAGTTTTCATATAATTTTTTTTAATGAAATACTTAATTTTTGAAATAGATAAAAAGTTAATACATATCGATGGAAGGCAAACGGACAACAAGCTGCGCCGCTAACCCTTTTTGGATGGCAAACCAATAAGCATAGTGCATGTGTAGAAAGTTTATATAATTCAATCGGACATAAAGTTTTTTTCCTTTAAAATTAAATGAATTTATTTTTATGTAATTTGCATTAAACAACAAAAATACAGCATTTAATATAGAATACCGGTTTAAATGGAAGGAAAAGGAGAGGCCTAATCATTTTTTTTTCATGTAAGGAAACTATATATAATAATATTTTAATTTGCAAATATGCAATCAATATGGTAAAAAAAACTAATAAATTGGTAGCAAATTCAACATGATTGTAGAAATTGATTAGAAAAATAATTTGTTATAAAATTAGTAAAATAAAAGTAAAGTAACTAGTTGCATAATTTAGTGTTTTACCCAAAAGAAGAATCCATAACTCTGAATTATACAAAACAAATAAAAATTAATTTTAATGGTTTATTTGGATGAATGGAATAAAACAATAAATAAACAAAAAATACAAGATAATAGAATATATCAGTGTATTCTATTTTATAATGGAGCCAGGAAGTGGAGTCTAATTTGAGTTTTCTTTTTGTAACGAACAGAAATAAAAAATAATAATAATAATAAATAAAAAACTGTTATTTAAAAAAAAGTAAAAAAAGGTTAAAAAACTGAAATAAAAATTGTTATTTAAAAAAAATAAACAGTAAAAATGTGAAATAAAAGAGAAAAGGAGAAAAATCAGATATTTAAAATAAAAAAACATTAAGGAAAACTGAAAAGTAAGAAAAATAAAAAGAAATACTATTTTGATAAATATTTCTGAAAGTACCGGTTTCAAAAAGAAATTTTTTTGAAAGTACACTAAAATAGTAAATACTTTTTCCAATCACCCTATTATAGTCAAAAACTCGATAGCCTTATATAAATCCATGCATACAAGTGCATCTCTAGAGAAAGAATAAAAAGAATAATAGTAAATAAGTAAATAAAAAATGAAACTAAACCTTAGACTATGTCAAAATACTCTATACCCTACCCTAATTCTATGCCTTCACAAAAAGATAATTTTTATATCAAGTTTAAAGATTAAAAGTTGTTTGTTTGACCTCAAAAGTCAAAATATCTAGCTTTGCTTGACTCTGGATGTCAAACATCGTGGTTTCTAAAAGCAAAACCAATTTGTAAATTGTTTAAATTTTACTCCCGAGTTCTATCTAGTTTTTGTCTTTTGTGTGTATGATACTTGTACAAATATAAATCCAGTGATCATTATAAAGATAAATTCAAACTGCAAGTTTAGTTAATTATGATACTTAATAGGTTATTGGAGCAGTAGGGTTCATGAATCGACGACTAGAGATTCCAAAAGACGTGGATCCACTGTGGGCTTCACTTATCCAAAGCTGTTGGTGCAGGTTGGCCTCTTTCTCATGAAAAATGTTGACTATTACTAAAATGTCTAAAATACCCTCTATTCTACTAATGATGGGCAATTTCGTCTTTTTATTTTTCAGTGAACCGCAATCCCGACCAACATTCCAAGAAATACTAGATAAGCTTAAAGATTTGCAGAAGAAGTTTTTGGTTGAACGTAGGAGAAAGGAATCCTAAAACAACACACGTGCATTTTTGTTGGTTTTTGCCCCTTTTTTCATACAAAATTCATATTTTCTACAAGTAGATGATCTGATATTTTGTTTTTTTAGTTAAATAATTTGTATCAAGTAAAAGTAAAAATACCTTTGTGAGAATACCGAATAGCTTAAAAAACAAATCTTGAACTTGGAATTAAGAAAATTCGATGGAATATAAAGACAAGATTGATAGTTGATACCCTGTCAACTATGGGCATCCACTTTCTAATAACAAATAAAAAAATCGAAATTAAAAATTAAACAAATTGCCAACATGGATGTTACGTTAATGTCATGTCGACATAGTGTGATTTTGACAGAACACACTAGTCACCGGTTTTCTCATGGTATAATAGATCTTAATTGGCTAAACAAAAATAAAGTCAACCGAGTTCACTAATCATATATGTGATATGTGATTCACCCTTTTGAATTCCAAGTGACAGCTTTTATAAATATTTGGTTGATAGGACATACAAGTAATTAGTAAATACAGTTTTTTACCATACAGACACCCAATTTAATTTTGAAATAATTTTATTAGTTGAAATTATATTGTTTTCCGAAAAAGATGATTATAAGTAGTTTATTATAGGTTGACTTTTTATAAAGGGATCAATGGAATGTCTTATTAGCATCACCCTAAGCATAAATACATACTCTCTAACAATAGCATCATATCCTTCTTATGTTACCTACCATACACAAACCCTCACAAGTCAAATAAATATACACCTCCCACTCCTTTGGAGTAATTCACACTAAAAAAAAAAAAAAAAAAAAAAACCGTTAATCTCTTAAAGTCATAAAACAGTTAAAACAACACCACAAATGTCCTTCCATTATCCGGGTCCACCATTTTCATGTTCCACGAGGAAGAGGGAGTTCAATCACAATATGGAAATAACACCTTTCAGACTCTCTTATATATTGAACCTCTCCATTCATTAGCTTTAAGATCTTCCTACACATGCTTAATCCTAAACCTTCCTCTGTGCTCCACTGACTGCTCTGAAACATGTCCTGAACCAGCTCAGCTGGAAGACCGTTTCCCGGACACACCATCCTGACAAAAAAAAAAAAAAAAAAGATCAAATTTCAAGAAAATAAAAAAGACCAAATTTCAAGAAGAAAAAAAAAAGCAAGATGAAATGAAATACCTAAACTCAATATGCGCATTGGTGATTCCATCAAAAACCTGTTTCAAACTGGGTCGAACTTGAATTTCAACCCAACCATTAGGCGAAGGAGAATGTTGAACCATATTCAACAAGAAATTAGTCAACACTTGTTGAACTCTAGTTTGATCACCACAAACGGTCAACGTTTTGACTTCTTCCGGAATATCCCGAATCAATTGCACCCCTCGATCCCTCAATATCAACATCACTTGGCTAACCACCGCATCAATCACACTCCCAACCACAAACTCCCGCTTTTCAACCTCCAAATGTCTGCCAACACAACACAAGATCATATGCATATTCATATTCATATTATATTATTTGTTTCTACAAATTTAACAACATAGTACTATAATCTTAACGTAACTCACCCTTCTTGAATGTTCTCCATATCAACATCTTTTATAATCTTCAACATTTGTTTCTCACAAGCTGCGCTCGTTTCCAACAACTGCTTTTGATCTTCGGACAAATCCGTAGCTTCAAGAAGCAAATTAGCAAACCGAATCCCACTTAACGGACTCTTGATTTCATGACAAATATACGCCAATTCTTTCATTCTTGCAAAACATTTGTTCTCTTGTTGTCTTTGTATCTTTAAAGCTTGTTGTAGCTCCGGGCTTGCGATTTGCAAGAAACAAAACACCCCTGTAACATCACCGGACAAATTTACCCTTTTATTTGCAGACAACAAAGCTTGAACAAATTTCCCACGTCGATCAAAGAATGAAAATGGATACTTATCGCAATCTTGTCCACTAATTGCATTATGCAAAATGATCATGAACTTTGTTAAAGAATCCGGACCCTTTAGGCGACAACAACTTCCAAAAATCTCCCCAACTAACATTTTCCCGATGACATCATCTCTCCCCCAGCCTGTGAGTTTTTCCATAGCGGTGTTCCATTCTGAGCAACATGTGTTTTCATCAGATGCAAAGATGGGTGGGATTAAGGGATTTGGACTATGTACAATGGCCCGATAATCGCCTTGAATTTGGACGAATTTGTCCATTACGACTTTTTGTCTGGTTACATCTTGACCCACGAAACAAACTCCAACGATGTTGTCTGTATAGTCTTTGCTACAACAAGCATTCACCACTACAAATATCGCGTTTTCTTCTTCTGATAAATTGAATGTTCGGAGTTTGATCTCCACGTTCTTGTCTTCTTCACCTATGTCAAAGCAAAATAATTGTGTATGTTCACAAGAAAAAAATAACATCTTTTTGTTGTGGGAAGAAACAGCATGAACAACTTACTAACAACAAAGTGATCATTGTTTTTGCCTTTTTGGGTCGACAAGGGGCTTTTTGGAGCTTAAATTCAAAGTATACTACAATAGCATAATTTTAAAGATATTAAAGTTGGTCTTGTATTATCTAAAATCTTTTTGTGGCATTGAAAAACAGTGTATACAACAGAACTAATGACTTGTTGTCAAGTGCATGTGATTGTTGTTTGTGGGTTAACAAGAGGAAAGAACAGGAAACTTTGCAATCTTGAAATCTTGGCATAATAAGCAAGAATCTTTAATTGCAATCTTGAAATATTGGCATTAAAAAGCAGAAAACTTTGCAATCCTGAAATCTTGGTATGAAAAAAGGAGATAAACTTTGCAACATGAAATCTTGGCATTGAGAAGCAAGAAAGTTTGCAATTTTGAAATCTTGGCTTTTAAAAACAAGAAATTTTGCAATGGGGAAATCATGGCATTAAAAAATCAAGAAACTTTGCAATCTTGCAATCTGGGCATTAAAAAGCAGGAAACTCTGCAACCTTGAAATACTAGCATTAAAAAACAAGAAAGTTTGCAGTATTGAATTACTAGCATAGAAATCTTGAAATCTTGGCATTAAAAGACAAGAAACTTTGCAATCATGAAATGTTGGAATGATGGAGAGGAAATAAAGAAGTACCCTGTAAAGCATGATGAAGAAGCCTGATGACTGTTTCTTGTGATTCTTGAAAAATGAGATCTTGAACCAATGATTTCCCCATAGCTTCACTAACCGAAAGACCAGTCAACTCTGCAATCTTTGCATTCCATCCGTTTATTCTTCCTTCAACATCAACAGCAAATATGGGAGCAGTTGCAGTTTCAATCAATCGAACCATTTCTTTTGCAACCGAACTAAGTTCATCCATTCCTTGCAACCCCATTTCCTCAATTTGAATCTTGACTACAGCTTTGGAATTGGAATCACGTTCTTCTTTAAACGAATCTCTTAAAATAAGTTGTAAAGAATGGATTGCATCCATTTCAGCATTCTCCCATGGCAAACTTCTACTCTTCACAACTTCTAGAAACGCATTGAATGAAGAACGTGGATGCATTCGTTGCCCATCATCTTTATCTTCCGGATGATGTTTAGCTCCACCCCATTTCATCTCTTTTGCAGTGTGGGACCGGAACCAAAACAAGAAATCTTTTGAAGTTATATAAGCAACTGCCATCCCACAAACCGCATCACCAAGTGAAGCAGCTTGAGGGTAACCGGCATCGGCTAATGAATCGGTGCTTAAACCGGTGGAATCAGTATGACATGCCAATAGCCATTCCACTATATCTTTGATTTGTGATTCCGTTGGTGTGATTCCGGCCGCATAGTACTTTCCTTGGTAAAAAAGAGCAGCACCATCACATTTCACAAGATCCATGATGCTTGGACTTTGAGTCACGATTCCGGTAGGGGAATCACGTAGGAGCATATCACATAACAATGTTTGTGTTCTTAGAATCCGTTTTTCCAACATTTGAGAAGCTAATTGTAATTCCAAGTTTAGTTGGAGTCCAAAAGCTTGCATTAAGAATTCACACGCGTAACGTAATGGAAACGGAATGCATCGTGCCGATGTATGGTGACAAACTACTAACCCCCATAGCCCCATTGTCCCTCTCCCACCTCCGGAATCTTCGTTTCCATTGATGATTACTGCCAAAGCTAATGAAGCTATTGAACCCATGTTAGCCATGTATTGAGCATGACAACCATGAGGGGCCCGAAGGGTGGACCCTACTAAACACAAAGGCTGCATCAAAGAATCGTCTTGGATTACAGGAACAGGATTAGCATGGCAATCAACTATCATTCTGACACGATTCTGCCTAAACAAGAATCTTGAAGCCTGTGGGATATCAGTTGCGGGATAATGTAACCCGATATAAGGATCCAAATCAGGCCTCTTGCATTCCGCCACCACTTCACCATGTTCATCTTCGTGAAACTTGTAGACCATTACACGATCGTAACCAGTGAGCTCTCTCACGTTTTGTACAACGGTGTCACACAAAAGCTTAATATCGCCACCTGGCAACGCCTGTAAATTTGAAATGGCTCGAACGGCGAGTTTCTGAGATTGAACAGCCCCAGCAATTGATAAAGCAGGATCCTCGGTTCTAGCAGGTTCCAAATCGATAACTATACCAACATCGATTCTGTGCAGAATCGCGTAAAATGGTTTACCGGAATTCTTGGAGTGAACCCACACAGGGTTCAGGAGGGTAATTTCTCGAGCTCGGAAAGCCCTTTCGAGCAATATGGCACTCGAAGGGGTGAAAAGGGTTTTGACATCAGTTCCAATTGTTAAAATTTCGGGTTTTTCTAGACTGGGAACGGATTGTGGTGCTAAACCTAATCGTTCTCTAGCATTTTCACTGAACGCGATTACTCTAAAACTAGAATTATCGATAGCAATCATACAACCAAAGGGTTGAATGTGACCACCTCTTTGAATTTTGGATAGATAAGCAGTCATTTGTTGTTCAGCGATTGAATCGGTGGCTGTTTTGATTGACTGTGAGTAATCAAAAGACTTACCAGATTCACCGGATTCTTCATAAACGGCGTGTAATCTAGCATCGACTGCGTATTGTGCAATGGCTTTACTCATTGAATCAACCCTAGGCGTTGATGATGAAGAAGGGTTTTGAGGTTGAACTTGTTGTGGGTGAAACCCAGAATTTGCTTTGCTCCCAGAAGCCATGTTTATGAATTTTGAATGAATATGGAATTGGGGATGAAAGATTAAATGCAGTTTTGGTGATTAACAAGAAGATCAAAAAGGGAGTGATGTGGTTTACAAGTATACTTGTGGTGGATTTGAGGTGTTGGTTTGAAGCTGGTAAATTTGGTTGCATTTATAATCATTCAGTCATGGATTCTCCCACATCTCATCTGATCTCATCACACCGCACTTTATAGAAAAAAAATAATAAAAAAAAAATTATTTATTCTAATTAAATATGACTTTAATTTTAACATGTGAACAGTCTGCTTTTAAATATAGAACTAATTACTTATGTAAACACTAAATTACATAACGAAATTTAATTTCATAATGACTTAAGACATAGTTGTACTTGTATGATTTAACAATTTAATACAATCTAAAATTAAATTACATAAATAAGAGATAATGATGAAGATAGCCACTATTGCTAATGATTTGCCTTACAATAACTTTGATTTCTTCATCTTCCTCGAAATGGTCATATATGTCATAGTAGGCCACTGTGAAATTGTAAACCCTAATATGAAACTACTTTTTGTAAAATCAATATAGTTTTGTGTCTTTTAAAGTTTCCCTCAACAAAATTAATATTTCTCATTTATGTAACATCCACCCCAAAGATGGGAGAACGGGCAAGTTTAAGTAGCATGCACCCTAAAGATGGTAGAAGAAGACAGAAACAACTCAATATAAGATTCCAAATAGTGCATTTGGTTGTGAAAAATTTTAGTTTTTTAGGAAAATATTTTAATCAAAACAAAAATTTTGAAAACGTATTTGATTGGTTCAGTTTTTAAAATATTTCCAATAAAATGAAAAATTTTCTGTTTTCCAAATTTTATGTAAATTAGAAAAATGATTTTTACAGTTTTCTAACGTTTTCTAATTTCTAAAATGGAAAATGAAAACTCTAGCGGTTTCAACCAAACGCGTATTCTAATATTTATATTGAAAACTGAAAATGAAAACTCAACTTTATTTTCTGAAAACGTTTTCTAGAAAAATAAAAACTATTTTCTACAACCAATCACACCCTAAGATTTAGGAAACAGTATCCACTTCTTGGTTCAATAGCAACTTAGCTGAAAGTATGTAGTAGAAGCGGTAAAAGACGATGACGAGAGAGAGGAGCTTACGGAAATAAGCTACTACAAGCGACAATGGCAATATGTCTTTACCGGGGAAAGTTAGAATAGCTTTTATGAGAGTTGCTATATCGTGGATCTTAAGGAAACCATTGTAAAGTATATTTGTATATATATGCTTCATCTCGATAAATAAAGTGTTTCCATGTGTCTGATGTTTATAGAGTATATATATAGCAAACCGTTCTATGCCATTTGGGTTTCTCATTGTGCAATTGAAAATATGGGACCCAACCGCGAAATTGGTCTTGATTTATATTTTGTCTTGATATGGAATTAAGTTAACCAACGACAATGCAAATTTAGCTTTTTTCAGTAAGAAATTGGAAAAACTTAGGTGTAAAAGATGTCCTAATTTCATTGATTATTCACGTCCAAAAATGTTGTCAAGATCATATAAAGGTGTCGATAAGGGTAATAGAGTTGCAAGCACTTCTGGTATGAAAAAACGTAAGCATGGTTGCGAAAACGACAAATGCAATTGTCATAAGGACTTTTAATTATCATGGTCACGACTTTACACCAATGGTGCCTGAGAGCATGTTAGCTTTATGTGGGACATAAAAGAATGCAACTAGAGAGATTGAAAAGTGGAACTAAATTAAATAATGGCACGTAGGGATGGTATCGTAGAAAAAAAAAATTAGTATAGTCATCAAAAAAGAAATTAAAGTTTAGACATGAAAAGAAAATATACATACATCCCCCGTTAGGAATGGGCCATGACCATTATGATTTTTTTTTTTCTAGTATGAAGATAGTTAGCTTAAATGGTATAGAATTTACTTATGCAGCGCATATACGATTGACCGATTTAGATGACTCAGAGATATGAATATGTTGATATAAAAGTTAATTAAATTATTGGCCCCATGCATGTAATGGTAGACTGGTTGTCTATCATTTCCCGGGCACGTGAAATTTGTATACAACGTGGCCCCACGGCTCATATGCTCTATATATTTTATTCTTTGCCTTTCCGCTCACGAACTCGGTTTTCCACTATCGTCTAATCTAACGGATCACAACTTGCCACGCCTTCCTATTGACACACGCCAAACGTTGTGTGGTCAAGTCACGTGCGGTCGGGTCCATACCTTCTCACACTTCCACGTGCATGTCTTTCTTACCTTATTTTTTCGATCTTGAAAATAATTTGTTTTAAATTTTAATTTTTTCTTTAAATGGCTAGCTCACTCACAAAAAATTGTTCCTACCGACCATAAACTTTTTAGCGTCGTTATTTTGTTTTAACAAGTAAAATTTTAATAACTTCAGAAGTAGCCAACTCAGAAGATCCAAAACTACGTTTCTTAAAAAACTAAATTTTAATAAACATATACTCTCTATTTTTTCACATATATTGCTCCAAGAGACGTCTAAGGACTAAGGAGGTGGAACACTATATGTCACCTATATTATTCTGAATTGGTAGTAGACAAAAGAAATACTATTGTTGTTTGCTAACTAAGTTTCTAACAATTCTAGAGCTGGCGTTAAGTTATTTACAATTTATGAGTATAAGATTTGACCCCTCCTACTAAGTTAAGGGCTTCAATAACAGCCATTAACAGAAGGTCTGGGTACGACTCTATGTGAGCAAGTCCACCCTCTGATTCCATACAACTCAAAATCCTTCCAACAATCTGGGAAAAAACAAAACCAAACAAAAAACATTAAACATGTACGAGATCAAAAGGTTCATAATCGCTTTTTCAATGACAAAACAACTATACATTTTGTAGAAATTAATAATTGTCCAATGTTCTTGCTCCACTTACATTTGAAAAAAAGTGTTACTAAAAGTATTGTATTTTTCATAAAATTGATCGCTAAATTTACAACAATAAATCAAGTAGAAAAGAACTTATTACTAACCTTACGGGCATAGCCACCATAAGCAATTCCTCCAATCAAAGCATTTGAGTTGGACAACATTGACCTTTCCGCATTTTCTATGGATGGAAAAAGCTACCAATGAGCACAAGGGGCAATATGGGAAATAAAGAGTACTTTGAGAGTCGCAACATTTAAATTGTATATCGATAACTTAAGTTTGAAAAACTTTCATAGATAACAAACAAGAAAGTGAACAACAATTGATTATACACTTGGTTCTTAGTCAAACGTCTAAATCACCCTTTAAACATAATAACATAATAAAGAATCTTTTAGAAACATTAGTAACATGGGCAAATAGGTAATTTTGGCTAGCAACAAAGGGACAACAAGATTTATTTATACCATAAGTTGCGGTTTGGAAGAGGTTATGTTTTCTTAACCCGTCCACCGTGTGCGCGTTAGTACCACCCGCGAGTTGAAGAAAACCTATATCATCGTTTCTTGACACGTCATCAAACATGCATTAAACACTTGTACATTCCACACTAATTTGATGCTGACCTGGCGGTTTGTCTTTAGAAGAAACCAAACGAAGAGCAAAAGCAATGCATTCACGTGTGGCCCCGCGTCCAATGTCTCCACTCATTGGTCGACCATCTAACTACGAAATTAATCAATCAATCATGCATTATCATGTTGCACTTTATGCATTAAATCATGTACACATACCTGCCATAAATTTAAGCAACATAGATCGCGTTTTAAAATTGAGTACATTTTGGTCATCATAGAGACAGTTGAATCTCCAGTATAAGGTAAACTAACCTGCATTTACTCGTAATTAAATTTGTTAAATATTTTTAATTTTATGTTCAAGAAAAAAAATTAAATAATAAATTTAAAATACTTACTGCCACAAGCCTTAGATGATTAACAGAATCTCCCAAACCACTCCAAAGCTCTTTGAACGAATCAGTCTGCCTGCAAATGTTTTAACCCAAAAATAAAAATTTATTTTATTTTATAAAATAAAATAAAATAATTTACCTTCCATTTGTATGTATCTCTATAGCATCAACATCATCCCTCTCAAGAAGTTTAGATGTTTCAGAAGCATCTCTTACATAATTCATTGATTCTGAATCATTTAAATTATTTATCAGTATACTTTTCGGAAGATCTCACACATATACATGAGAAAAATATTAAAAAATTTAAAATAAAACATATACAAACTTATTTTATCGTACGGACAAACTGGAAAACAACGTCCACAACCATAGCAACGCTCATTTATTACTCCTTCCTTCATATCAAATAAAAATTCACCTTTAAAAAAACATAATATATAACATGAAAAATATAAATTCGAAGAAGAAAAGGACCTTAAATATCGCATTAGCAGGACATATTTTTTCACATGGTCTTGTACAGTCCTTTGGACAATCATCTGGATCGAATTCTGTTAAACTAGTAATTGTTAGTGTTACATATTTTTATAAAACAGATACTGAATCCTGCATTAAGTAATTGTACATTGTGCTTTATGACATGTACCAGCTTTGCGGAAGTGAAGATCTTCATCATCATTGACACTTATCATAACCCAAGGCCTTCTTAGGGGCAAAATAGTCATTGCCACATTGATCCCTTCATTCACTGCGTTCACTACTGCCCCATCAGCAGCACAGTCAATACAGTCAACTACAATAAATACACAAACACAATTTTGACAAATTAATTCAAAGTCATTCTTTTAATATGACCAAATTAATTTTGGAAAATTAATATAATTTATATATACCTCCAGCCAGAGTGTAAACAAGAGAAAGATTCCTAATATCCACAACATCCTGGAATCAAAATGCAACAATTAGTTAAAGTTTTCTAATACGAAAAACTACTTTCGTTAAAATATCAGAAATACTTTCATGATTTTAGGGAGAAGGCGTAATTTTTCAAAGCTTTAATGCAAAAAACTAGCATAGTACATTTATTGATTTGTTTATTATAGCATCGTTCTTTTATTTTTTTCTAATTACAGCATTGTAACTACAACTACAACTACAAGTATTTGAATTGGATATTGCCAAAAAAAATTATAATCCATTTTATGTAAATAGACTGAATTTTCAGCCTGTAAACCAAGCCTGATTGTTCCAATATCCGTAGCTCATATGAAATACATTGGGTTTGAATTTTCAAAATCGAATGTGGAATCAAATTATGGGAGGTACCTTTTGTGTAGTTTATCACATCATACCTTATATAGATTACAATTCGAAACTTAAAAATAGTATCTAGCATTCAATCAACGAATAAGTGGAAACCCAAGTTCAATAATCAAAAACTCATCAAAAGAATTTACCTCAAAGCTAGCACCACAAATTAGCTTGACCCAATTGCCTTTCTGAAGAGATTTTTGTGGGAAAGTTGTGATCGAGGGAACCTTATTTTTTATGAGTAAATCCCTAACTTTCTCAAGGGATTTTTTCAGAGTAGCATCCAATTTACCTGAGATTCATAGTTTAAAAAAAATGGTTGTCATATGCATACTATGCGTGTGTGTGTGTGTGTGTGTGTGTGTGAGAGAGAGAGAGAGAGAGAGAGAGAGAGAGAGAGAGAGAGAGAGAGGGATATTACAGTGGAGGTGGGTGTTGAGAACAGCGGCATGGCAAGAGAAGTTGAGAGCCATTGAAGAAGAAGGGGCAGGAGATATCGGTTTAAACTTCACATCTACTAATTGAAAGTTATTTACACTTTGACCCCATAAGAATTACAAGTTGGACAAAATAACTCTTCATAAAATTAGTTCATTTTTATTTTTATCTTCTGTCTGTGTTAACATAATTGAAATTGAGAAATGATTTTTTCAAAATATATGTTCTTAAAATGAATTTGAAACTACTAGTACCTATCAATAATTATGTAATGGTAACATATAGAAGTCTAGAAAGTAACAAAAAAGAATGTTATATTTCATTCTTTATCATTCTATTCCATCCAACTTGACAAATCTTAATTCTTTTAAGATTTATTGTCAATATAGAAGCTTTTATTCAGCTCAAGTTTGTCCAAGTAATGTTTGCAAAGTAATTATATAATAAATTGTTAAATTAAACTTAGTATTTCTACGCTTAAACTTTCATTGATGCTCTCTTTTGCTTACCTACTCTAGAAACATAGGTCAAGTTCTCAATTGATCCAACATTTTGAGAATTGAAGGCTATGTGATGACAATTGATGGTGCTTTAACTATTTCATGGCTTAAGAATCAAAGGAAGCCAACAACTTCATTGGGGTTTCCTCAAGAAAAAAACCCGAGGGCAATTTAACATCAAATAAGATTATATAAAAATCTTATTTGAAGTTTTCATGCAATAAAACTTGTGAAGTATAAATAATACTACTTGAAATCATAAACTATATGTCATAAGTTTTCTTAATTCTCTGCTCACATTATGGAAAAAGAAAAAAAAAATCTTAATGGAAGTTACATAAATTTCTATGGTTTTTTTTTTGGAAGATATAAACAAAATCTACAAATAGATATGTTGCTTTCTATAGTTGTTCCATTAAGTTCATAAAAATTTATTTGTTGAGAATTTATTCGGGTAGCCAACTAATTAGCATAATCATCCTACATAACAAAAATATTGACATGAATTGATATCTCTGGCACTCGATAGAACCCGTAAAAAGAAACAAATGGTAACCTTAAATCGAAAATCAAATACCTGAAATATTTACAGAGGCAACCAATAAAAGAATAGAGTTTTCATTCTTACATGTAAAAGCTTTTCCAACAAGGAAGATAGGCACTGTTGTAAAATCCGAGTATGAAAACAATCAACAACCCACAAAAACCCTAATTCGAAAACACAAAGCACACATTATTTGCAGAGGACGTGAAGAAACATAAGAGATGATTCAATCTTACATGTGTAGGCTTTTAGCTATGTTTCAAAAGATTTCAGGGCAATGAAGGGTAAGGGAAAGACGGCAAAATTATAATAAAAATAATAACACTAAATTAACCTTAAATATATAAACAAAGCAAACATATAAAATAAAATTAAATTAAAAAAAAAACAAAAAACAACAACAACAATAACAACAACCACCCTTAGGCAGGGTCGCGGAGGGGGTGGAACTAAAAAACTCTTATCAAGGGAAGGAGGCCACTAGGGATGGATTACTTGAGGAGACTAATGGAGTTTGTTTTGCTAGCTCTAGCACTAAAGCATTCTGAATTTTACAAAGATGATTAAACAGATTAATATACTTCTAATTTAAAACAAAAAATAGCAATGTACTTCTAACTTTAAGTAAAAAACAACATTATAAATCACTTTAAGCATTAAACTACAATATACTTCTAATGTTAAGCAATAGACACTTACATATTTTTGTTCGGCTATTAGGTTATCGAATGTCTCGTCTTTACGGGTATGACCATTGTGAAAAACTTGGACTCTACAAGTGATTTTTAACCTATTGCCTTTTCAAAAATCCAATAAACGTAAAAAATATTTGGGAAATAAAAAAGTATCTTTGAAAACTAATTTTTATTATCCTCAAAAAGGATGCTTTATTATCTTCAAAAATGAGTTTTTATAAGGTTACACACTAGCTCCTAACTTTTGAAAATTGTTTATAACTTCATCACCTAAAATGACTATAAGTTGGATTATAAACTTATTGTTTCTTGCTACCACATAAACTAATACAAACATTTTTTTAGAAATTATATTGTGTCACTACATAAGATAATAAACATTTTTATGAAAAAGTGCTTATTAAGTTAAATAAGCAATCTCACCCTAAAAACTAGGTTATATAGTAACATCCGGATTCCCAGGTATCTTATTTTATGTATTTATATTGAGTTTTGGAGAGGGACTCGGCGAG